CCGCCGCCGCTGCCACCACCACCGCCACCACCGCCTCCACCACCTCCACCACCTCCACCTCCACCACCTCCACCACCACGAAGCTCCTCTTTGCGTTCCCGTTCCCGCCGTGCCCGTTCCCGGCTCCGGCTGCTTCGACGCTTCCGGTCTCGGTCCTTGTCCTTGCTTCGCTCCCTGGAACGACGCCGCTCATCCTTGTCGCGGCTCCGTGAGCGCCTCCGCCGGTCCCGAGAGCGGGAGCGTCGTCGTTCCCGCTCCTTGTCTCTCTCTCGGCTCCGCTCTCTACGCTCCCGCTCACGGTCCCGGTCTCGGTCCCTGTGCGGAAGCGGCGAGGGGCCAGGCCTGGATGAGGTGGGCAGTGGTGTGTGGGCAGGGGTCCCCATGTCACCAGCCCGGTCCCAGGAAACTAGTCGCCCAATCTCACCTCTCATCATAGCGGGATGTATCATCACGGCCTGAGTGCCTGATGTTCACATCGGCTCCACCTCTTCTGGTACCACCGAGGCCACCTCCTACGGGCGGGCAAGTGAACATGTGTCAGTGTGGCCAGGGGCAGGGCACCGAGGGACTAGGAGGGCAGAAAAACAAGCACCTCTGGAGGCCAAGAGGCCAACTCCAGTGTCCATCACCTCTGCACTTGTCCTGGGACAGCCGTGTCTCACAGCCTGACGTGGCTTTCACTGGGTACTGGGAACACCCGTGGTAGGAGCCCTGCCCACTGGGTACCGCACAGCCTTAGACCCCCTCTTTCTGCTCACCCTTGCTGAGCAGTCCCTGGCTCTCCAAGGTGAGAACAGACCCACTTCCAGCCCACAACTGTTCCCCACGAGTCCAAACTCCTCACCTGAAGCCGTATTGCCTCGCCAAAGGGCTGGGAAAAGACCCAGATCCACCACGCCCACTTCCCACGAAGGCTACGAGCTCTTGCCCCCGTCATCTCCTGGACTCCCACCACCCTCGCAGTCAGCCATCTGCCCGAACGCCACTTCCTCAGAAGTCCCTCCTGGCCAAACAGCAGCCTTTGCTCCCCAGGGCCCATCAACACCTCTGCTGAGTTTCAAAGCCGCTGTCTATGTGAGGTGATGACCAACTGCATGCACCAGAACGCCAAGCCAGTGCCTGGTGCTGCTTCCTGTCACCAGCACAGGTGAGGCACCTGGCGTACAGAGGCGGATCTGTCAAGGGTATCAACAGGGTGGGATAGGTGCCAACCTTTCACAAGGGGACATTCGGTTATTTGCCCCTGGCAAATTGGCAAGGAAATAGGGCCGGGACCGCCTCCTGCCTGGCCTCAGCCTATCTCAGCAAGAGCTTTCTGTGAAGTTCCACAAAAGGAACAACTTAGCCGGGTGTGGGGGTGCACACTTGTGATCTTAGCACTCAGACTGAACCAAGGCCTTCACAATGATCTCTGGCACTTTTTTGTTTTTGACGTAGGTCTCACTAAGTCACTAAACTGCCCGGGCTAGGTCTGATCTTGCAGTCCTCCTGCTGCAGCCTCCCAGAGTGCTGGGATTACAGGTAAGCAGCAGCTGTGCCCAGGTAGTTTTTTTTTCCTTTGAGACAAGACCTCACTATGCAGTCCAGGATAGTCCTGGAACTTAGGATCCCCCGAAGTGCTGGGATTGCCCACCTGCACCACCATACTTGGTTTCAACACCACTCAGCTCCAAATGTTTCTGAGACTCGCCCCCAAATTGACATTGAGATGATGAATGACAGAGGCTGCCACTGTCTTAGTCTAGACTAGAAACCTAATACACAGCTGGTGACCCGGTGGGTGATTCCTGAGCCAATGAATGGATGAACAAGTGGGCAAAAGTAAGAGCAAAGGACAAGCAGACGAGGAGGTACTGGCTACAAGCCCCACCAAGTCTCCTGGCCAGGCTGGGCACCAGATGCAATGAGCTCAGAGAAGTCACAGGCGATTCCTACTGTTCAAGATGAAGAAAAGCCAGGCCAGTGTGTACCCCTGACCAGTCGCTCTGAGAAGGTGGTCCTAGTGAGATGATGAACTGGAAATTGAGGAGGGCATGAGCAGCAGACAGAAGGCACAAAAGGGTATGGAAAAGAGGAGAGCGAGGCCACAGGGTGCAGAACCTAGGCACTCAGCAGACACAACTGCTCACCCAGCCGCCGAGGCCTCCAGCCCTTCACGGTCCTGCCCCTCTCCACATCCACGAGGACTCTCCTGCCATCGATCTTCTTGCCATCTGCGTGTTTGTAAGCGGCTGCAACAGACGTGGGGAGGGGAGGGGAGGGGAGGAGTCCCCAGAGGTCCTCCAGTCAGGACAGAGCCCCACACTGAAGCGTCCCCACCCCACAGAACACGATCATGGCACACACACACGCACAGCCACCAGACAGCCAGGCACCTGACAGCCAGACTGACCCTCTCCCGACCCAGGGAGGGGCCTGCTCCATCTCAGTGCCTGCTTCCTTCTCAGCGCCCCCATCAGGACTAGAGGTGACACCCACCCAACTACCACTGCACCCTTGGGTGCCAGGCCCTTTTCACTCCCACCCGATGGAGCAGCCCCCTCCTGCCAGGCGGCCAAAGTCGCTGCAAAGAAACTGGAGGTTAACTTAACACTGGACTCTGCTGTGGGGGAGGGGGCTCCCCCACAACCCCAGGCATGCACCCTAAAACATCATGCTGGGGCAGGAGGCCTGATTGGGCCGTTCCATGCCCCAGTTAACACCAGTTTTCTTTTCTTGTATGGTTTCTGTGGGGAGGAGGTCAAGTGGGTAAACAGACATCAGAACAGAAAATAAACCAGAGGGAAATGGGAGAAATCTTCAGAAGATGCCAGGGAGCGGAGAGGCGGGTTATGTGCTCCCAGGGGCCCTGGAAGGGCCCCCCCATCAGGGGAAGTGAAAAGAGGCTAGGGAGACGTGCGGTGCTACTGAAAGTCCCTGCCTTACCTGAGACCACTGACCCTGCTGCCACTGACCCTGCCCCATCTCTCCCTCCCACACCCCAGCTCATTACGTGCCAGACACAGCTCCGGCCTGAGCCCATCAGGGAAGGGTGAGAAGCAGAGAAGGGGCCGGGGAGGGGCCCATAGCTGCTCTCAGGGAGGACACAGCACAGGGCAGGCCCAATGCCCAGCCCGTAATCATGGGGGCTGTCAGGAAGGCCAAAAAAGTTCTGACCCCCTCCCCAGCCCTGGACTAGGGGACTGTCCTCAACCAACCACAATAACCCTGCCCCGCCCCAGCCCGCTCCCCCCCAAATAACAACCAGAGGAAGAGAAAAAGGTGCCATTTACCGATGCCGGCCTTGCGGGTGTCCAAACCGAGCGGGATGGGGGGGGCTCGGCAACTCCTGGGGGCCTGGCGAGGAGGCGGGCTTCCCGGGGGGGGGACACGGGACGCTTACCTGGAGCCCCCAAGCTTACCTGAGTATGCGCACAGACCCCACCCCCACCACCACGGGGTCAGCTAAAGCTACAGGGAGGGGAACCTGGGGGTCCTGGGAGCCCCAAAAGGGAGGAGCCACATCTCCTGCAACACCTGGAGACAGGCTGAGGAAGTGGTAGACCCCACAGAAACTCATGGAGGCAAGAATAACACTGCATCTGGGCGTGGAAAGCATGGGGCCTATCTTGGTGGAATTTGCAAAGATGGCTGGGAGGCCTTGGAACACCTGTCACCCTCACCAATTCCTGATACAGTCACACTCACTAGGCACAGGCCTTCCCCTCTCGGTTCTGGGAATTACTTTCCCACCTCCAACTCCACAGCCCTCCCACCAGCACGGCAGCCCCAAAGCTGAAACACAGGGGACACTCCCCAAGGTCTAGAGGTGCAGTGTTGCCTGTGCTCTGAGGAGGGGCCACTTGGCCCCTGAACCCAGAGAAGGGTAGTGGGGAAGGAGTGCAAGGACCAGGGTCCAGCCAAGCAAAGAGCTCTGCTCGGGTTCAGCATCCCAAACCCAGGAAAGGCCCAACCCAGGAAGAACAGCAAAGAAATGTGTCATTGTGTCCATCTAGGCCTCTCTCTCTCTCTCTGTCTCTTTCCCTCTCTTTCACCTCCAGACAGTGGCAGGTTCTTGATTAAAAACCTACTACACCTTCAGCATTAGCAGTCGGCTTCTTCATCCCTCCCACAGCCCAAGCCCCAGTTCCATGCACTCTGGGGGGCTCCTGACCACCCCTGGAGACGGCCGGATACCACAGCCAGCACCCCCAAGAGGCCTCAACCATAGTAAGGAAGACAGAAGAGGGTACAGCACCTCGAAATTAACCAACGATTCTCCAGGGCCACCACAGTAACGGCCCCACAAAAGGGATGGGGGACAGGAACTGAGAGCTGAAGGGTTCCGCATGGAACCCTGGCCCTCACACCCCACCTGCAATGCTCCTGCACCTCACTGCTGATGTCAGGAAGCCTAGTAAGTGGGGCTGAGTGGAGTTCGTCTGGACAGGCAGCTGCCTTTCCCAGTGAGGTCCACCCAGCCCCCATGGGATCAGCAAGACTACTGGAGAGGATAAGGATCGGGCAGGAAGGACAACGGACACCAAATTAAGGAAAGGGCTGTGGGTGTGGGGAGGCTGAGGGGCCACCAGGGTGGGAACAGGGACTCCTCACTGCTCCTGAACTGCCTGGCTAAGCTGGGCTGGTGTGCGGTGCTGAGTGATCTTACCCATGATACAAACCCTTATACCAACCATACACTGAGGTGTTGTAAGGGGAGCGTAAGCATCAGCTGCAAGCCAGCTGCGTGGTGGCTGCAGTGACAATAAGAACAGTCAATTAATATGGCGGCCCCTGGACACGCCGCAGCCCTGCCCACCC